TTCTGGGGGAGGTTTACTAGCTCCACATGGACTTGGGCAGCAACGGGACAGTCACTACAAACAGCCAAATGAAAAGAGCAGTCCTGTTGGAAAGACCAAAAATGCCTCCATACAGAGGACTCTTTGTATGTCTACTGCCAGTGCTGTCAGATATCACCACTTGTATAGCAAGAGAGAGAGAAAGGAAAAGGAGATTAAACAAGATGTCACTAGAGGAGGGAACAAACCACTAGCACACCATGGGACCAGGCCATGACTCTCAGTGCATTTCAGCCTGGAGAGGCTGTTGCATTTAGTGACCCCAAACACGGAGCTGCCATTCTGCTCCATCACAGCTCCAGGACTAGTCAAGAGGGGCTCTCAGCCCACATAACCAAGCACCATGGTGATTTTCCAACAGGGCTGTGCTGACAAGGGCTGTGAACAAGATCCTCTTTACCTGGAGACTGGCTACTACAAGGTTATGGAAGACAATGGGATACAGACTGTTTCCTGGACACACAGCAGGAGGCTGAAACAATCACAATTCCTGCCTTCAACATGGTTTTGTTTTTTGGGTTTTTTTTATAGCTAACCTAAAGAGACTGCTCAAGCTCCACTTGCTATGACAGGGTAGTCTTTCAGGCTTGCATTCCCTGCACCTTATAGAAATATGTTTGTTTTTTTTAAAACAGTAGATGGTCAGAGGAATAAGTCTGTTCCAGACACCCATTTAGTCCAGCTTTATAAAGCCTGAAACAAAGGGCTGAATTAGGATAAATTACATTCCAAATTGTAATGTGGTTTGTCCCTTCCGAATTTTCTCTTCAGTTGTTTCCTGCTGTCTGAATCCCCTCCTTTCTGGGGTAGTATCTGCCATCACACAAAAGCTGGTTTGTCTCTAGATCAGCAGATAAAATTGGACCTTTTTCTATTGTCCTTAGCTTATCTTACAATATTCCTTTTTTCCCTGCCTCTTCCCACCCCTGCCTTGCTCCCTCCTAGCCTCCCTCTCACCTGCTCTCCTGCTGCTGAGTCTGTCTCCCCACATTCCTCAGCCCCTTACTCCTCCCTCAGATCAATACTGCCACTTCTTCATTCCCCTTCACAGGTCTGGGGCTCCCTCTTTCTGCTTCACTTACAGACTGACACACACCAGTGTCTGCATTCCCCCAGCCTCTCTCACAGATCTGTCATGGGCTGCCTCTCACCCACCTTCCTCATGACTCCAGAGCCAAAAGTGCCCAGCCTGTAGTGGGATTGCTGTGCCATGCCAGGGCAGTCACTGCTGTGTGCTACAGTTTACCACAGTCCCTTTGCACCCCACATGGATGGATGATGTTGAATTGCTGGTTCCCAGAGAATGCTGCAGAGCATCTGTAGTCCTCCTCACAGCTTCTTTCCAGTCAGCTGACCAGAACTTCCCAGTGAGAAAAGAAAAGACTGCCACTCCTGTGTTTCACTGCAAGTCAGGCACATCCTGTGCTCTACCACTGGGTCCAATACAAAGCTTTCCTTGTCAGCCTACTTCAGAGGGAGTTCCTGAGGATTATGCTATCATGTCCCTTTGCATCACAGATTTCACATGACATGAAAATGTTTGGCTTGACAAAACCTACAGATCTCATTCTCCACTCCTAATAATTCCATGGTCTCCACCAAAGATGCTCTGCACGTGCAAGTGAGAAGGGACATGGAGCATGAAGCAAGGGGAGCACATCAAAACTCAGTGGTCTCAGGCTGTGGGATGCTGCAGACTGCACCAAAGGCAAGGTGTCTTCAGGAGCACCTCCAGAACAGTGCGGGATTCGTGTCTGGCAGAAGCACAGGGCTCAGCTGGTCAGCAAGGGGTAGCCCAAGTACATACACGAATTTATATCCACAAAATGCATACAAAAAGAAATAGGGGCTTTACCACCCAAATTATATCACACCCCTAATAGCTTCCTGTGGGCTATGCCAAAAAACCAGCCTGTTCTCTTGCACACATCTGCCTTTGACTCGGGTGGCTGCCGGATCAGGCCCTGAGGCTGCCCTGTCCACAGCTCTGCGCACTCTCCCACATTCCCATCGGTCTGTTTGAAAGGAGGGCATTGATGTGTCTCCATAATTCAGCCATTACCAGCACGATGCTGAGACAGATCAATCAAAGGCAATACAACAGCCAGATTCAGAGGATTCCAAAAATTGAGGTCAGATTCAGTAACTCTTAGACACTGAGAGAGAGAGAGAGAGAGATATACACAAAGACAAATTTCAACTGTGCAAATCTAAAAGTGTCACTTGTAGTGATGGATTGGATGTGTTTCAGGAAGAACTGTTACTTCCTCCCCCATTACCATCCCTCACCTCTGCATCAGTGCTGGTATAAGGTGACTTTGTCAGGGTGGCCTTATCCTAACTTTTCCCTTAACACATGGCCCTCTGATTTTACAGCACAAGCCCTGCAAATGGGTGTCCTGCTGCTCTGCTGTGCCTTGAAGGGTCAATTGCCCAGCTACAGAACACCTTTCCCTAGGAGAGGACCATTTTGTGGCTAAATCCCAGCTCCTGGGTCAGTCAGACGCAGCAGCCCTTCCTAAGGGGAAACACCTCAAAATGCACCAGGGATTGGGTGATGGACAGCTGCCTGGGAAATCTCTGTTTAAACTAGTGCTCTGATGCACATAAGGTTGTTGCAGTTGCTGGGGATTTACAAACTTCAACATGAAAGCTGAGAAGCCAAAGTTTTTCCTAGGTTATAGTGCTAGACTTGTACCAGAGAAAAGAAAATCCCTGTAAATCTACTCAAACCTACAGCTTGGATTAATTATCTCCATCGACCTTGGCTTCCTGATCATTTTCTCCTCAGATGTTTGGAATCAGTAAGCTACTACAAATAATTAAATGATTCATATTATTGATAATTGTATGTATCAGAGTGGCATTTAAAAACCCTACCTGATGTAATTTGCAAGCAGACAAACACAGCAAAGATGACTAAATTTTGTTGTGAATAACAATCCTTGATTTCAAGATCAAATTCTGAACTGAACACCAAAAATCTAGAAGTCCTGTCCCACACTGCATTAAGCACATCCAGCTAGTAAATACTAGTATGAAGTGGCAATACACACTCTGGTCCTTTTCTATCACTATAGTAAGTTGCTAACTGGTTTCTCCTTCAAAAAGAGAAAAAATATTGAAATAAATGCATCTTAAGTATTCTACAAAGGTTTACATTTCACCAATTAAATGTGGGCTTAGCCAGTGCCTGATTGTGCAGTGCACAAGTTTACAGAGAGCTAGGAATTCAGGCATGAAGGCAAGCAGTTCTAGAACTTTTCCAGTGCTCAAGGACAAAGATGTCATGAGATAAGCTATAATAAGACTCCCAAACAAAAGCTGTACATATTGACAGTAAGTCTCCACACCAGAGATCTTAAGAGTCTGAGCAGACAGTGAGAAAACTGCAGGGAAGGAGGAAATGAGGCCACAAAGTGGTGACTGAAGCAAACTTCACCTGGATCAAGAGTAATCTTGTTGCCTCAGCAAATGTGTGTCCCCAGCACTACTGCATGTCCTACAACATGCTTCCTCATTTTGTCTTGCTCTGCTTTTAACCACTTGCCTCGAAAAGCAACATGAAAAGGCACTACTATAATGTTGATGGCCAGCAGTGGTTTCCTTCCTCCTGTCACCCATTAGCTGCAAACTCAATTAAACATTTGGATCTCTCTCTGACCAGCACTCAGAATCTGAGCTTGAGAGAGAAAAGCATTTCTCTCCTTCCTTTCTAAGGATAGGAAATTCCTCTTCATCCTGTAAAGTTATCCACATTTTTCCATACGTTTGGGGGAATTGTCCAACGTGGGGTGACAAATCTGTGGCAAAGATGAGAAATGCACTCAGTCTCCTCACTGCTAAGAACTCCTGCTTATCTCCTGACTAAACATAGAATAAAGCTGGGTTACAGCAAAAAAGACAAGACCTCATTATCATCTCCCCAGTCATCAACACTGTGTTCACCTGAAAGCTCACACACCGTTTCTTTCACCTTGGCCAAAATTTGAAAGCCAATCTGCAATAAGAGATTTAAAATATAAGTACATTTACTTTTAGTAGAGATCTCAATTTCCAACACAATTGCTTATGAAATGACTGTATGGTCAAGGAGCCTTAAAATTCTCCAGCTGCTGAGAAATTACGGATAGCATCTCCAAATGCTGTCAACAGCCAAAAAAACATTGTTAGAAAGATCTCTTTAGCATGCATGAATGGATGCATCAAGGGCAGTTGTGTCTATACAAGTGAAATCCTTCTTGCACTGTGCTTTTGGGGTTTGGAGTGGGAACTCTGCACAAAGATAATTAGCATTTACTTCTAAAACAGGAAACTTGCTTTGCATATTTCATTTTGACACAGTCACACTCTCCTTTTTTTCTGCAAATAACAAGCTGAATTCTAAAAACCTTACATAGTTTACAAATAGACTAAGTCCCAGTGAGCTTCCAGTGAAAATATGGCTGGGCAAGGATGAATAAACGCTGATACTGAATTGTGGTGTTCCCAGCCAGAATGAGCAATACATTATTTTGCAAATAGTACATGGTTTCAAGAAGGTCTTGTTTCTTGTGAGCAGTAACAGGAGAATCCATCCTTCTTGCACACACAAATGCATGAGCCATCCATGCAAGACAGTTGGGCAGTTTCCTACTCCTTTGTAGCCAGAGGACCCAAACAGCTGCTCTGTACCAGTTGCCACATCTCTGATGGGTAACCTTATTTATGAAGAAGGCCTTTCCTGAAGCCTTCTCAGAGCAGTGCCCAGAATCCTAAGCATGTGTCATCTGTGTAAGCCTGGGTGAAGATGCAGCAGCCCTTGCTGTGAGGAGCTAGTGCCCTTCCAAAGCACACACACCCTCATGTCATCTCCCCCATGCCCCATGGCACGCTTGACTCCACCTAACATTTCCTCTTGGAGAAACACCCAAGGTTCTGCAAAGCCCTCTGTTCTGCAGCAGGGCATCGAGGTGCATTACCTGCAGTCTCCCTGTTCCCTGATGACAACTCTCCGTTGATGCCATTCTCTTTGGTCTGAGCATACGTCCCTGGCTGCTCATGGCTGCCCAGCCTCAGCTCCTCAATCTCTTGGTACGGAAATCCATTGGCACTTCTGACCAGTCCGGCACTCGCGCCACCCTGATCCTTAATTTCAGGTGAATGTGGGTGTGAAGAAGCCTCTGTTAGCTGACCTGAAGTCCAGTGTGGGGCCTTGGCTTCGTCTTTCCTATCCTCGGCCATGGCTCCTTGCCTCCACCGCTTGGCCTGTAACGACATGAGCAGGAGAGATCAGTTCCAAATGGGTGACTGTGAGCATCAGCACAAGCGTGTCACCACCACTGCTGCTGGTAAATTCAAGTCTGGCACAGGAAAGATGTATATCTGTGTGCTTGTCCTAGCTGTGAGTGAACTGATTTAAACCCAAAACAAACCACCAGCAGGAAAAATTATGGGTCAAGTCCTCCCTGACTCTCACATGCCTTGCAATTATCAGCACCATTTTCTTGATGGCTGCCCGTTCATTAATCTGATTTTAACGCATTAATTACAGTTAAAACATCAACCCAATTAACAAGATTTGAATCTGTCGTCACAGTGCCACAACCTGCTCCCAGGGCAATAAAGGAAGAATGCCACAACTGCTACAAGTTGAAGCTGCTGCTGCAGTTACACCAAGGGGGTGCTTGTCAGGCACAGAAGCACAAGGTGACGTGGCCTCTCCAGCACGTGCAATCTGCCACTTGTCATGACAGAAGCAAGTCTGGGAATGCACACTGGGTTCCTGAACACCCATGCTGTTTGACTCCAGTTAAATCCCCTCTTATTTGCTGTTATGTGAACATTCACACACATTTGTCCAACCCTTTTGTCCAAAACAGTCCATGGGGAACAGTTTGTTTCTCACACAAGCATTTGCATTATCTTTTGACTATCAGTACTTGTACAGAAATAAAACTAATCATTATTTGCTACTTCACACACATTTTACTCCTGTTAGTTAGCTCTCATTTGTCTAAGCAAAGGAAAAAAGCCACTGTATAAGCCATAATGCTTGGCTAGTCCTCACAGATAAATGCAGCAGTAGTTCCTCAATATGTAAACCTAGGAAGGCAATAAATCATAATCATGTTTTGATGATACAGTAGCCTCTGGAGAGGAGAAGACGACCTGCCCTGAGCTAGCTACTTCAAAGTGGAAAGCAGCAGGCCTTTTCCAAAAGCACTTGCCACCTCTTTTTTACCCTGGGAGAAAAACACATAAAAGCAGTGAGCTGAATGCAGTCAACCAGCCACATATCACAGAGGCTGAGCAGTCTGGAAAAGGCAGCACAAACTGGATAGTGCATATATTCTGCAGACATTTAACAAAACAAAACAAAACAAAAAAAACAGAAAAAGAAACTAGTTTCCATAGTGTCAGGTCAGTTTGAAGAAAACCTCTAAACACAAGAAAAGGCTATTTGCCAGACAATCACTCATAAGTGATAATTTGACCTCTTTCTGATCAGACATTATAACTTAATAATGATGGCTTTCAGAGCTTCTTTAGATTTTTAAAAAACCATGCTGAATCCCAAAATTACATTTCATTCACAATATGTGACTCAAACTGGAGTTCCATGTCAAAAAGGACTAAAAATTATTTTGCCCCATGGTGAAATAATGTTATAGGAAGTGCTCTGCCTGCTCTCACCCTGACCCAGCATCATTCCCTGGAGGTACCTGACTGCATAAAGACTGAAGGATCCACTGAAACTTGAAGCCCAGGTATTCCTTTAAGCTGGAATGAAAATGATGGGATGGGCATTATCACAAAGAAGGGACACATGTCTCAGTCAACCACAAGAAGAGAAGAGTAAACACACTCCACATCCCTTTGCCTTCCCCACCTCCGTTACCCTAATGGGAGACTCAACAGGGAGACGTTCTGCATGTACAGACAGAGCTTTAAAGCAGCCATCTCACATCATACCAGGAGAGCTGATGGTGTCATTAAGAAGAACAGCCCAAGACAGGAAAATAACCACTCCTACAAACCCCAAAAAAAAATAGACCTCTGCCTCTAGATCTGTTTATTGCATGATTGTAGAGAACATTTTCTGATCAGAGCCTTTCTAAAACATGAGGCCATGGGACAAATGTCTTCCTTTTTACATGAATGAGCAGCACACATTCAAAGCCACCAACATTTGATATATGAGGACAGAACAAACCTGTTCTGGGGGGAAAAAAGGGAGATAATTCTCATTTATGTCCCCTGGGGAAGCTCAGGAAAAAGCCACAAAAATCTCAGAAAAAAACAACCAGAGAAAAAGCCCAAGCCCTAACTCAACACTTCCCTCACCAATCCAGTGTGCTTGGAAGCTGAGAGCAGAACCCAAAGCAGGATGAACCTGCCCACCAGCTTCACCAGTTCAGCCCCTGGGTCAGCCATGAGAGGAGCCCAGAGGCACAGCAGGACAGGGAGGGTTATGAAAGAGCCAAGTGTGGGGAATGTAGCTCTGAAAATCACTGGGACAAATGTAATAGTTGTATTCCACCAGTTCCGCACTTTGGTAGCTATTATCCCTGAAATATCCTCTTCCTGGTTCCAGGCAGACACTCCCTGCTTCACTTGAAGCTCTTGAGGAAGGATATTCACATCTTCACAATGGACTGTGTCACAGAAGTCCCCAGTGAAAATAACAAAAGTGCTTTTATCTTTAAAAATAAATACAGTGGGCAGACTTCAATGCGAGCTGCGTGTATCTGGAGGCAGAATTTGGCTCAGTACTTTTAAAAGATGGTTACAGAGTAAAGCATGGATGAATTCATTCTTGCCTCTCTGTTATTCATCAAGTGCTCTCAGGCTTTATAATGGTAGAGAGAAACAGCAAGTGAGTCACACAATGCATCTTTGTGCTCAGCAATTTAGCAATGACTATCTGCTGTGTGCTGTGATTCATCCACAGCTTGGGTTCAAATCCAGAATACATAGGTGTGTTTTGTACCATCAAGTGAGTTGTTTTTCTTTCATTTCATTAGCATACAATGGAATTAAATTAATCAGGTAATGTAAATAATGACAGAAATACCAAGAGTGGCCAGACAATATAGCAGAATTTAAATAGTGGTAACTATGTAACAAGAAAAAACCTGGAATAATTTGGGCAACCGATGGAAACACTGTACTTCAGGGAAGCAAATAGTCCCTCTTTTTACCAGTTTCCTATTCTTTGCACAAGCTGCAATGAAGGCTTTCAGAAAAACATAGATAAGAAGGCACAGCCATTCCTCTAAAATGTCGTGTTACTTTAGTTAAAATTGATTTGGATCTTTATGAACCTTTCTTTGCTAACCATTACAAAATAACTGCTTTATCAGGAAATACACAGCAGCAATCCTACAGCATGTTCTCACCCTTTCTCAGTGAGTCAGTGGTCAGTGGTAGTGAGGGGGTGACCTAGGCAGGTGCTTGAGCACAGCAGAAGGAGCAGTGGAGCTCACAGACAGTTCCAGCCTTGACTTCACTGACCCACCAGCACAGCCCCTTACTCCAGAGCCATTCTGGCTACAGCTGCAGGCTGTGTTAGCTACACAGCACAGGACTGTGGTAACACTCCTCCCTTGGGATGCTCCTCACCCTGAACTCTGATCACAGTCACCATACATGCAAATCACAGTGTAAGACTGGGGTGGGAAATGTGCCCTCCATCCAGAGGGATCAAGTAGGTGCTGTTGAACACCACAGATCACATCAGTGATACTGACCCACACCCATGGGCCATGCACAGCCCTCCCAAAAAGGCTTTCCTTGTCCAGAGTGACATGGAGGATGCTGCTGAAGCAATTGCTTGTCTGGAGAGATCATGCTCCACTGGCAGCAGCAGTGATGCAGCAGTGAAGAGACACTTCACAGGCCTTAAGTTCACGTCATTGTAACTCAGGCAGTGCACTGAGGGGACAGCATTATGGATCTGGACATCCTGTCTTCTGAACTAATAACCTGGAGGAGAAATGATGATAAAAATGAACCCTCCCAGCTTTTTCAGCCATTTGGGAACTGTACGGAGACAGAAAATACTGAAACACAGAGGGACAAATCTCGTGGGGGATATATGGTCTGACACTGCAGTTACCTCCTCCTTTTGCAGGCACTCTACATATATTTATTAATCCATATGCTCTTCCACGTGACACCAGCTCCCGCTGCCATGGCTGGCTTGAACCAAACCTGAGTGCTTTGAACTCTATGCATGGCAAATCACCCACAGTAATACAGCATGAGGCCATGATATGCAAAACTCAAGGTAATGCTGATTTAAATTTCCTATTGTGCCAGCTGTCCAGAATCATCTTAGTGTTATACTAACACTGCCTTTGCATATAAACAGATGAATTTTCTACAGATTTCTTACTTTTTAAGACAACAGAATTAGGCCAATACTGAAGACTTTTGCAAATAGCCTGCCTTCCTGCTTCAAGCCATGTTTTTACCTGCCCTTGTATCTGTGAGTCCATTCAGAGTGAAACGAGGATATTTAATTTCAGGGAAGTTAATTTATCAAGTAAAAGAAACAGCCACCTGGGTAAATGGAGGAAGAACTACAATTCTAGTGCAGGCAAAAATTGTCACTGGAGGTTCCTGAAGGGAGAGACAAGACACTCTTTAAAAAAAAAGAAAAACAAACTCTGGCAGGGTGTATGGCCAGATCCTGAGGACAGTGGGAAGAAGAGGGGATGTGCCCTGTGTATGGCTCCAGGACCAAATCCTACTTCCCAGAGGGCAATTTAATTCAGGTGCACTGACTCAGTTGCCCTGAGTTGCAGCTGCTTCCAAGTGCAGAGCCAGGAGAGGGAGGGGATTGCTCCACAGATGCGGACTGGAGTGTACAGATATGGCTAATGACCCCAGGTATCCAGGCCTTCCAAAACTCCTCAACTAGACTGCCTAGAAGAGATTTTTTTAATAGAAATTTAAGAAATCCAGGGAATTTCTTTCAGAGAAAAGAAACTAATGAGGCATCATGTTTGTCATTTTTTGCAGAAAGGACACCAAGAATTAAAGAATAAATTAAGATATCTTCAAAATTAGTTATAAATAGCGTGCAATCGAACATACACTAGTAAATAACACAACAAAATAAATTTCATGACCACACACCAGCTGTCCAACAGAGATGATGGATCTGTATACTGAATACCAGACACAGTGATTTAAAAGGTCCCAATGGAATTTGCCAGTAAATTTAACTTACTAACAACTTACATCTAGAAGAGCCAAGG